AGCTCGAGCTTTTTGGATCCGTGCTGAGATTTTGTCGCCAATCACTTCGTTCGTGCTGATACAACTTCCCAAATAGGTGAAGTGGCCAACATGTTCTATCACTTCACTCCCTATCACTAAGTTAGGAGTTGACGTGGTCCAGTCCCGTAGCAGCATCTTACATTTTGTAGGGGTGAATCGCATGCCAAACATACGAAGATTGCTGCTCAAGGTGTTCAGAAGACTCTGCATTTTGTCAGCATCCTCCCCTAACAGGACTATGTCATCTGCATATTCTAAGTCCATAAGACTATACCCTGGTAACAAGTTGATTCCTAAGTCGTTACGTTCAGTTAAGGATACTTCCATCAGCACATCTATGATAAAGTTAAACAGAAACGGGGAGTGGAGTGAGGCAACTTAAACTGACGCAAGTCTGTGCAAGGTTCTGCACTGAAATTTAGTCAGTAAGTCGATGGTAGCTACCGCCTTCCTTAGAAAGCAAAATCAACTGGAATGGCAATTAGGTCAAGAAAGAGTCAGGAATGGAGAACAAAAAGGCATTTGACTGTTGGTTTGAAGCATGTTGACTACTTGCCTCAGGTCACTGGAATGTAGTACTGTTGATATCTGTTAAAATTATTCACAATCATACCGATGGATCCACTCGCTATTATCAACTAGGTTTTGGCAATTCTAACTGATCTCCATATAAGTATTTGCTCTTTTGTGACTCAAGAAAATTCTTTTAGCTACTTCTATGTGTGCTTCTATATTTTGTAGTAACTTAACCTGACATACTCTCTACGGGGTGCCATCGACAATTATACATCTCATCCAACAGTTAGTTGCACGACAATGCTGCATGCCAAGTAATCCACAACGGGAAACTTATGCAAGCCTTCGAAGTGAGGACGGGAGTAAGGCAAGGCTGTCTACTATCACCAATGATATTCGTGATTGCAGTAGATTGGATAATGAGACATACAACGGGCAATGAGGAAACAGGCATAAAATCGACTCACACAAAATCAACTTGGAGGATCTGGACTTCGTCGATGATATATGTCTGATTTCCCACAAAATGGAAGATATGCAAGTGAAAAGCAATAGGTTGGCGATAGAAGAAGCATCAAAGATACAACTTCAGGTGAACATAGATAAAACAGATGTGGTGATGAAGATTCCTGGCCAACACCAACAGCAACAACAACAACAACAATCAGCCTGCGTAAATGGGAGGAAACTGAAAGAAACAACCTCCTTTACCTACCTAACCGGGAAGCATCGTTTCAACTACAGACGAACGGAACTGACGAGGATATCAAAGTCAGAATCGGAAATGCAAGACAAGATTTCATTACTCTAAAGTCTGTGTGGAAGTCTGTCTGTTTTCGACATAGAACTTTGCACCGATATGAGGCAGTTCAAGTCGCCACACTCCCTCCTTGTAGCACACAAAGCAAGAGAAGAAAGTACAAGAAAAGCATGATAGAGACAGTGAGCAGAGGTGTGAGACAAAGGAGGAGTAATAACGAAGAACAAAACAGTTTCATTGGAAATCATAAGTCACAAGGAGTGGATACATCTGCGCTAGCCACTGAGAACGATTTTGAGCCATGTCACCAATTGTTTCCAACCATTGGTCTTTACCGTCCCGAGGACCCAACCCTGGAAGTCTACACCTTTTTACGTGGCTTAGACCAACTGTTGTGGATTTCATTGACTGGTAAGGCCGAGTTTTTGTTTGACTGCTAATAGCTTTTTTCCAGCCTGACCCTATATCCGCTAACATTGCTCTTCGGTCGAGGGAGGCGATGGCTTGGCATACGTAACACATGTCCTAACCATCTCAGTCTTTGTAACTTCACAACTTCGTCGATTGATTTCCCCTGTTTACCTAGAACTCGACGCCTAAATTCAATGTTGCTCACCTTATTATGCCACTTTACACGGGAAATAGAGCGCAGGCACCTATGATCAAAGACAGCTAGTCAAGCTTTTCATGTCTTCCACTCTCAGTGGCCAGGTCTCACAACCATAAAGGAGGACGGAGCGGACTGATGAGCAGTACACCTGCCCTTTGGTCGATAGTCGAACATCTCGTCTACGCCAGAGTCGGTGTAAACTGGCAAATGCGAAACGAGCCCCCTGTATTCGTGCTGAGATTTCGTCAGAGATCAACCCGTTGGGGCTGATGGTACTTCCCAAATAAGTGAAGCGGTCAACGTGCTCTACCACTTCACTTCCTATTTTTAAACTAGGTGTCGACGTAGTCCAGTCCTGTAACATCATCTTGCATTTGGCGGGAGCGAATCGCATGCCATGTGGAAGTCAAAAGCACTCAGCATGAAAATGGAAATAGGATCTGGATTTTCAACCCCAATGTGAAGTCAATGATACTTAGTATACGGGTCAGAGACTTGGCTGGCGCGTCATGAAGAGCATCTCCAACAAACTACAGACATCCATTAACAGTTGTCTTCGCTCAATACTCATGATCAGATGGCCGGCCAGAAAACATTAGCAACAGACAGGGATCTTTGGCAATGGCCGAACCAGTAAACCAGGAACCGATTGTGAAACAAAAAGGCAGGAAGAAATGGAAACAGACCGGCCATACGCTGAAGAAACCAGCAAGTGAAAACACTAGACAAGCCATTGCTCGAGTGGGACCCGACAGAATGGGAAGCAGCGAGTTGGTCGTCCAAGGTGAGGGTGACTTGGAGGTCATGTGAAGGAAGAGGAGATGAAAGCATGTGGGTGGCAGACTTGGAGAGGAGTGAAAAGGTTGGCAGAAAACCGAAGGCAATGGAGACTTGGGCAGCTGAAGCCCTATGTTCCTCTAGGAATTAAAGGATATAATAATAATACTCCTTACAAAGTTCTACGTTAATCATTTCTCGTGTTCTAGACAACAAGTCGCACTTAGTCTCATAACTTTACGATATTATTTAATTGAAGTTTTGATTTTCCCGTCGATTGATTGGACCGAAGTGCTCGGTCTCAGGTTGACATGTCGGCTTCTTGTGCAGATGCTTCGACGATGTCTGAGCAATTAATTAGTATTTAATTGTGGGATCACTCACTGAGAAATGCAGGTACATCCAGATGACGAGTCCCAAATAGGACGAAATGCGCGTCCTGGATTCCACTGCTAGTCATCATCCACCAATTAAATACTTTACGATATTGTCTAGAAGCATGAGCTATAATATGTTAGGCAGATTTGTGAAATGAGAAACCACTATTTGGAAGCTTAGAGATTATGCCACTCAGTCACACTGACTGAGTTTTCAACGTAGAACTTTGTACAGAAGTGCAGAAGCACTTCAAGACGCCATACTGCATAAACGACACAAAAGTTGATTACAAAATCCTAAAAGAATTATAATGAGCAGGTAAGTAGTGGAGAAAGAATAGTAATATGAAAAAATGAGGGCTAGTTTCACAAATGCCAATTCACACCGTCTCTGGGTTTTGGTAGACGTGATATCCAAGTGGCTGCCGACCAAAGGGCGGGTGTACTGCTCATCAGTCCGCTCCGTCCTCCTTTATGGTTGTGAGACCTGGCCACTGAGAGTGGAAGACATGAAAAGCTTGACTAGCTGTCTTTGATCATAGGTGCCTGCGCTCTATTTCCCGTGTAAAGTGGCATAATAAGGTGAGCAACATTGAATTTAGGCGTCGAGTTCTAGGTAAACAGGGGAAATCAATCGACGAGGCTGTGAAATTACATCGACTGAGATGGTTAGGACATGTGTTATGTATGCCAAGCCATCGCCTCCCTCGACAATGAGCAATGTTAGCGGATGTAGGGTCAGGCTGGAAAAAAGCTAGCTGCGATCAAACAAAAACTTGGCACCAATCAATGAAATCCACAACAGTTGGTCTAAGCCACGTAGGAAGGTGTAGACTTCCAGGGTGGGGTCCTCGGGACGGTAAAAACCAGTGGTTGGAGACAATTGGTGATATGAGTCAAAATCGTTCTCAATGGCTGGCGCAGATGCATCCACTCCTTGTGACTTATGATCTTCAATGAAACTGTTTTGTTCTTCGTTATTACTCCTCCTTTGTCTCACACCTCTGCTCACTGTCTCTATCATGCTTTTCTTGTACTTTCTTCTCTTGCTTTGTGTGCTACAAGGAGGGAGTGTGGCGACTTGAACTGCCTCATATCGGTGCAAAGTTCTATGTCGAAAACAGACAGACAGACAGGTGGGGCGTGCACATCGCGATTACCCAACAAGTTGCACTGGCTGGAACCAATGTTCCTGTAGGTCCTACCATGCCAGGAAGGTTGTTAGGATAGCGATTAGACTAAAAGCAGTTACCGACATTATGTAAGAATCTTTCTTACACTATACTGGGGGTCTGAGGGCGAAGTCGTACTGGTGGGGAACAGGAAAGTAACAGTCGTAGTGAGGTGTTTCCCTCAGATGACCAGCATACAAGCCAGCTATGCTGTCTCTCCATTCCGGGAGAGGGGGTTAGAAAATGTCGACCCGAAAAATTGTACATCCCGACTTACCCTATCTACGGTGGTCCGTAACCGGCAGTACGTTTACTAATACGGAATTAGTCCCAGTAACCAGTTCACACAGGCCATGTGTTACAGGCCTCAAGCAGTTGTCCCCTGGGCACTGCAGTCACGCAACACTAACCCTCTTTCTGTTCCAGGTACCCGAAGAATCAATCAACTTCCACGATATGGGCAGCTGGGAAGTAACAACCGCCCACACACTTCCAGACAATTGGCTGACTTAAACCAACAGTCAAAGGTTTCAAAAATTAGTGTGATGTCTTAGTTTGACCACCCTTAACTATTTTCCAATCTCAGCCGGTGTCATAGAAACACACCACAAATCATGCTTATATTGTCAGGAACAACAAAACTAATCAGGTATACGACTAAGTAGGTGAAGTGGAACTTACTGATTATGTGTCAAATTTTAAAGTCAATATATTAACATTTTCAAAGACAATATATAGATAAGCAAGTATACAAAAAGTTCATGTACCTGTTTAATTTCCTCAAGTAATCGTAAAGCCGGTTGATAATCTGGTGGATCTGATTCCAAACTAGATCGTAAAATATCCCAAAATGCTCTATGCATTGTTTCCTTAATTTGATATTCCAAACTACAAAATAAGGAAAACAAAAAACTACTGATGAGAAAATGCCAACACACAAGGTAGAACTCATCCTTCGTTTCATCCGAACTGCAGTCAGTGGGGGCGTAGGCGGAGATTACGAAAAGGCATTGGCGAGTAGTGCAGTCCTTTCTCCTTTTTACTGATCCGTTCAGACGGACAGCACACATTCGGCTATCTACCGGGATCCAGTCAAATAATGTCTTTTCTGTCCTAGTACTCATAGCTATCCCTACACCAGCTAATCCTCGTGAACTAGCTGTGGCATCTCCTGACACCCTCAAGGGGAATTTTGCAGATTCAACCTGCTGGCCAGGTGGGGTTAGGTGAATAACCACACTTGGGTCTTGTATGCGTGTTTCTGAAACACAACATACATCAATGGCTCGGGACGCCAGAGTTTTGGCTAGTGATGCTTGTTGTCCTATTTGGCAAAGTGTCCTAACAAGGAGCATTTTTCTGCTTAAAGTAAGATTCTCCACCAAATATTTTGTAGAAACAAAAATAAATTTACTACTTTATATAACATGGAAGCACACAGACTTGCGAATCACACATAAAAAAACACTTTCATAGTCTCGAATATCATGAAAAGAAATCAGGTAACTCCGGAAAGTGGTAGCTTAGTTGCACACTGACAGTCAAATTCAACGTGTAATGTTTGAAAGGGAGGAGTTTTGAAGCAACATTTCAATGTGTGATACAAAATATGATCCTGAGAACGGATGTTTTAAAGTCAGATGTAAGATGGCCCCCTGATTTGCTGTTTTGTTTTTGATTACAGCTTGATTCCACACTGTATTTTTGGGACAAGTGTGGAATTTTCAGCGTGGATATCGGTAGCCCAAAATTCGCAGGCCGACCATAGATATCAGGTGTGCGTCGGCGTGGGCTCGAACCCCGGACCATGTGCATGGTCGGCGAGAGTCCTAACCACTGTGCCACCGGAGATTTGTAAAGTTAATTTCAATACAGCTAAACACTTTGGTAAGAATTACTCACGTGTTTCCGTGTGGTTCATACATTTCCAACCTGAAGTGAGAATCCACAGTTATTTCATGCACCAAAGTCATGTTATAAAATGCCTTGGCAGCTTCAGCAAGTTGATTCATTGACACAAATTTCGGTGGCGAAGCTAAAGATAAAAATAAATTTGGGATTATTTAAGGGTGATCACGGGTTCTACAAAGACCAAGTACAACAGATATGAAGAACTACTCATGGTATTGGAAAAACTGAATATGTGTTCTTTATTACAATAGATACACTGTTTTCGACTAGTTTAAATTAGTCTTTGAATAAATTTATTCCAAGGCCAATAAGAGAAATGTAGCTTGACGTTACGAAGCAGTAAAGACTGTTCAATTAACGGCTAACTACCTAGAAATTAACTTATTCACTATGTGAAACATCACGTCTACAGGATGCCAAATGATAAGTAGTGACTAGCAGTGACATCTAGGATGAGTCGAGATTTCAAGTATGTCATGTGAACTTTGCTGATATATTCCAGAGATTGATCTTACTCTCAAGGAGATAGAACGCCTGTTCTGGATTCGATTGCTAGCCACATGCCTAGTTAAATGTGATTAGATAGTCAGATTTTGACTACATGCCTCCCAATTGCGGTTACTTAAGATGGAATTATTGTTGTTTTGTCCTCATAACTCTAACTTCTGCTGGGTCTGAAGTGTAAGTTGTTTATAAGAGCTCCTGTAAAAGTTGACTTACGGGGTAACAGAGTGTCTTTATCCTTATCGAGGCGGTTTATTTTCATTGGAATGGCAAAACTCGGAGATTCCATGGGTGCATTTACATCGGCCAGTACACCACTATCAGAATCACTCGAACTTTTGGTTTCTTTGTTTTCTTCTGAACTCATAATAAGAGCGTAGTTTGTTTGGAGCGCGCGAAACAGCCTTGAAAACTAACCTTCGGCTTGATTGGTCCCTGCTTTCCTATGCACATTTAGGGTGAAATAGTGTATAGCAATAGATTTCTTAGCTATTGATGTTCTTAAATGGTTCCTGATTCATAGTGAGTTCCAAATAATTTTATTTCTTCACTAGTCTGTAGTGCCTTTATAAGATGCAGTAGGATAGAAATTTAGATTTTCATATACTTGACTGAGGATATGTGTGCATATCATTTGTGGTGATTGACAACTTTTACCTCTGTATTTTTTAAATAATTACTGTTGATTGTTAATATATTTCTTGTATGGATTGATTAATAATGCCGCTAAATACAAAATCCTGAATTCCGCCCTCTCTGTGTTTTGGTTGGATTCTTGTAATTCGGTCATCTCGAAATACTAATACTACGATTACAAATAATTACTACAAATTGGCGTCGCGATGGAACTAAATAACCTTGGAAAATTTCCTATAAATGGTTCACCACGGGAAACTGCTGATTATCTTGAATGCTTCGATGCATGGTGCATTTCAAAGAACGTTCGGGATGACAAAATTCCAGCACATTTCATTACTGCTATTGTGCTAGAGGCATACAGCCTTGTGAAGACTCTGGCGTTTCCAGATAACCCATTTCTCTGCTATATGACAAGATCCGTGAACTTCTGATACATCACTTTCATGTAACTACTTTTGAGACCAGAGAGAGGGCTCAGTTCAACAAACTGGTTCGTGCTCCCAATCAGAAGATAAGAGACTCTATTCTTCAACTTCAAATACAAGCTCCAAAGTTTAACTTTGGAAATCAGCTGCATACTCAACTACGTGATAGTCTAATTGGTGGAATCAATATTCCTAAGTTAGAGAAAGAGTTAATTCAGATTCCTTCTTGTACCTTTCAAACTGATAAAAATTTGTGTATTACATATGAAGATGTCAACAGTGAATACTCTGCTCCCACTACGTCAGTATCTGATGTCATGTTGTCCAGAGTGGAAAATACAAGTGGTCATGGAAAGCAATCCAAATTGTCGTCCACAGGTAATAGAATGCAGCCAGAGATCAAAAACATTAAACCGTGTTTATCCTGTGGAAAGTTACATCTACGAAGCACTTGCCGTTTTCGGGTTGCTAAGTGCCATAAATGTGGTGAAGTTGGACACATCAAGACTGTTTGCAGAAGTCCGAATGCTTATGTTACTCAGAATTCCTATAATTCTCCCAAGCTGTCTAGTAAAATGGAGTCAATGTGTCTTTCAACTTTTCAAAATACTCAAGCTAATCCAATGAAAACCTCCACTACAAGTTCAGCAACTCAAGCGTCAACTGTACCAGGTGTTTTTAAAAATGAGGTAGCCGATTTGCAATGCGAACTGTCGAAAGCACGAGAAAAACTGAATGAGATGAGAGAGCAACTGATTAAAATGGAGGAATTGCTGCATATGCATAAACTGCGTCTGTTGAATGCAGAACTTACAAGTACCCATAAAAGTCCTGCGAAACTTTTCAAATCTCGAATTCTCAAAAAGCGTCTGATGTCCACGACTTCTAATGTACATTATTACAATGAAAATGTCTATAGACCTTCATCTGGAATCATACTACAAAAAATGGGAAATCGAGTGGTGAAGATATTAGACATCAAAGATCACTCAGTTCATAACAGACACCTGGACAAAGTGACAATAAATGAAGTAGGTCGTTCCAATTATAATTTTAATGATTCTGCTACTAATCCTGATTTTGTAGATAATTCAGAAATAAGTCCAGATAATACTGATGAAAATAATATCACAGAATCAGTTGGAAGGTCGCAGCTACTTGCAAGCAAACCGAGACATCGTTATAAATACGCAAGGAGATATTTGACGTGTGGTGGATGTGCTGATTGACAGTTTCTATCTCTGTATTTTTTAAATAATTACTGTTGATTGTTAATATATTTCTTGTATGGATTGATTAATAATGCCGCTAAATACAAAATCCTGAATTCCGCCCTCTCTGTGTTTTGGTTGGATTCTTGTAATTCGGTCATCTCGAAATACTAATACTACGATTACAAATAATTACTACAAATTGGCGTCGCGATGGAACTAAATAACCTTGGAAAATTTCCTATAAATGGTTCACCACGGGAAACTGCTGATTATCTTGAATGCTTCGATGCATGGTGCATTTCAAAGAACGTTCGGGATGACAAAATTCCAGCACATTTCATTACTGCTATTGTGCTAGAGGCATACAGCCTTGTGAAGACTCTGGCGTTTCCAGATAACCCATTTCTCTGCTATATGACAAGATCCGTGAACTTCTGATACATCACTTTCATGTAACTACTTTTGAGACCAGAGAGAGGGCTCAGTTCAACAAACTGGTTCGTGCTCCCAATCAGAAGATAAGAGACTCTATTCTTCAACTTCAAATACAAGCTCCAAAGTTTAACTTTGGAAATCAGCTGCATACTCAACTACGTGATAGTCTAATTGGTGGAATCAATATTCCTAAGTTAGAGAAAGAGTTAATTCAGATTCCTTCTTGTACCTTTCAAACTGATAAAAATTTGTGTATTACATATGAAGATGTCAACAGTGAATACTCTGCTCCCACTACGTCAGTATCTGATGTCATGTTGTCCAGAGTGGAAAATACAAGTGGTCATGGAAAGCAATCCAAATTGTCGTCCACAGGTAATAGAATGCAGCCAGAGATCAAAAACATTAAACCGTGTTTATCCTGTGGAAAGTTACATCTACGAAGCACTTGCCGTTTTCGGGTTGCTAAGTGCCATAAATGTGGTGAAGTTGGACACATCAAGACTGTTTGCAGAAGTCCGAATGCTTATGTTACTCAGAATTCCTATAATTCTCCCAAGCTGTCTAGTAAAATGGAGTCAATGTGTCTTTCAACTTTTCAAAATACTCAAGCTAATCCAATGAAAACCTCCACTACAAGTTCAGCAACTCAAGCGTCAACTGTACCAGGTGTTTTTAAAAATGAGGTAGCCGATTTGCAATGCGAACTGTCGAAAGCACGAGAAAAACTGAATGAGATGAGAGAGCAACTGATTAAAATGGAGGAATTGCTGCATATGCATAAACTGCGTCTGTTGAATGCAGAACTTACAAGTACCCATAAAAGTCCTGCGAAACTTTTCAAATCTCGAATTCTCAAAAAGCGTCTGATGTCCACGACTTCTAATGTACATTATTACAATGAAAATGTCTATAGACCTTCATCTGGAATCATACTACAAAAAATGGGAAATCGAGTGGTGAAGATATTAGACATCAAAGATCACTCAGTTCATAACAGACACCTGGACAAAGTGACAATAAATGAAGTAGGTCGTTCCAATTATAATTTTAATGATTCTGCTACTAATCCTGATTTTGTAGATAATTCAGAAATAAGTCCAGATAATACTGATGAAAATAATATCACAGAATCAGTTGGAAGGTCGCAGCTACTTGCAAGCAAACCGAGACATCGTTATAAATACGCAAGGAGATATTTGACGTGTGGTGGATGTGCTGATTGACAGTTTCTATCTCTGTATTTTTTAAATAATTACTGTTGATTGTTAATATATTTCTTGTATGGATTGATTAATAATGCCGCTAAATACAAAATCCTGAATTCCGCCCTCTCTGTGTTTTGGTTGGATTCTTGTAATTCGGTCATCTCGAAATACTAATACTACGATTACAAATAATTACAACATCATTCCAATAGTCTTTTGGTAGATTCACCGACCTCTTTTCTCTTATTAACAATTACAATGAGTTTTGGGGCACTAGTGATTCTAGAAGCTGGTCAGATATTGGTCATAATCATATCATCGGTGTACATTACTATATAACACTGTGGGACTTTACCAAAAGAAATTTCACCCGTAATGAAATTATACTTTGCCACAGTGCGCAAGTTTTATTTGTGTATCAGAAATTGGCGCCTCAGGGTTGCAGCCCTACTATGATTCTGTCACACCTCTTTGGATATTCTCTAGAAGATTTTCTTCATTAGGAGCTATAGTATGATAGTGTTGAATATTTCGATGTGCTACCCCGTACATGTTTTGCAATGCTTCATGAACGGAACCAACCTTATGCCACCAAGTCACCTGCACATAAAGTAAATTGATGTAATAACCTTAACGATATCCCATGCATGGTTTGCATTTATTTCGAATTTTTCCGTGAAGATAGGGCCAAGTCTGTTATTTTGTTGTATGGGCCGACTCCACATCGAGAGTCGGCCATTTCCTGTGCTACTAACTTACAGAGGGGACGTCCTATAACACTAAATTACTCTAAATGTAAGCGCAGTTATCCAGGGTCACCATGTTATTCCACATTTTGAGGGAATCGTGCCGACCTTCTCTGGACATTCATAATTTTTAATCGTCAGCAGAAAGAACCAGCTAAAGTCGTTTGGTAGACCTGTCAGTTGTCTGGCTGGGAATGGAGGTGGAAAAATACTACCATGCATCAAACAAATACTGCTTGTAACCATTTTAATTGTTTCCGTTTTAATCAGGCAGCACTGCTCCTAAATCGGAATTTTCCGATTCAAACCTTAGGAAATAGTCCAAATATGAAGGAAGAACTTGTATGGATGCAACACTAAACGCATTTCCCAAGGTTCTCTAACTGATGTCAGCTCATAATGAAATCCTGTAAGCATTTCAATTTTGTTTTCAAAATATAAGAGCCTTTAAAGCTAATGCTCCCACATTTTTGAAAAGGGATAGTATAACTGCTCTAAAATCATGAATCCCGCTTCGTGTACTAGGTTGCTTCTAAATCTGTACTATGCAACCGAGAGGCTTCCACCAAACACGAAGTAAACTTTCAGGCTTCCAGCTTCTTGAGGTATTGATTCACCGTGTGCAATCACACCAATCAAATATGGGCATCCGTATTAGACAACACAGCCTGAAGAGTTGACACCTATGAGTTTGGGAGTA